TGGCTTGTTTTACAACGTCGTTGCCAAGCGACGAAAACCCAACCCCGATGGCAATCACCGGTGGCTGTTGATGGGGGGGGGGCGGTTTCTCGTCCTTCCAGCGGGTTACAACACGATTGGCGACAGAACTATGGTTCACGTTGACTATTCATAGCTAAGGTGTGTGTCGCTGCACACTTCGTCGGTTGATCAGACTTAATATCCACGTGGGGAGTCATTTCGATGGTTCCACAAAATTCTCGAAAAAATTAGGGGCAGATGTATCAAGACACACATGTCCGCCCATCTCCAGCTACAGCGGTCTACCCAAAAGACGAAATACGCTCGTACCTTCCCCTCCACAATGTCCACTAGCGGTTCCGTCAGGGCTATCTCTTTGATGACGCTCATGTCGAAACCGTAAACTTCGTCCCAAACTGCGGGTCCCGGTTGGGATGAAAAGACCAAAAAGCCGCAAGAATAATATTAAGGCATCACCTACTTCTGTCGCGATGTGTTGGACAGCAATTGAACGCATTACCATGTTGCCGTTTCCACCAATCATTATCCCCTTTGTACAGTGTCGCTCTACCAGCTGTTGTTCGCGCCAAAGAGGTGGTGTGCGCTTCGCTCCTGGTGTGCAACCTCTTTGTATCGAGCTAGGCACCAACGTAGCCCAGAGCGCAGCCACATTGCCTCTTTGAGACACAAACACTTGTCGTAGCCGCCCAAGTGCCTACTCAAGGGGTCTTTATCCATCCCGTGCACAGCTCGAGTCCACAAGACCTCGCAGCAGACGGCGGTAGCACGTCATGACGCCAGTGTTTTTTCGAGTTCCATCGCCGTCGCAATTCTGCCCGTAACGTTTTCCTCCTTCCTTACTTGCTATGCCTGCAATAGACCTTGGGGACACTCACAGTCTATCTTCTCCTTCTTGTACTGCTCGTCCTCTATCGCCCCCACGAACAACGTCGCCTTGTCGGGAAGCATCAACCCCCCTTCCTTCAGCCACCGGTCTCTGGCGTAGATGACCGTGTCCAGCATAGACTCGTACAGCAAGAAGTACCCCATCCACTCCGAGATGATGATGTCCACCTGGCGTTGGGTGTCGTGCATGTTTGTCTCTGTTTTGATCGCAACCAGGATATCCACGCAAGAGAAAAACCGCCATCAAAAGCAAAGACCAATAGCAGCAGCAGCAGCAATAGCAACAAAAGCAGCCGTGATAAGAACGGCGTCCAAGACCACACACAGAAAAAAAGTTCCATAGCTCTCCGCAATCCAGAGAGTAGCATAGTCTCGCCCATGACGCCCCCTCATGGGGCCTCACGGGGTCCCAGACCATGGTCTTCAGAAGCATTTTCAACCGCACTGAGACCGACGTCTTTTCACTGGTCAGCCGGTTCACGCGGTCAACGATAGTATCAAAGACAAATACACAAAAAACATACACACCTTGTCCACACCGGCCAGGGCCTCGAGGCTGGCGATGTCCTCGCACTTGGACTTGATGAGAGTGATCTTGTCGGCGAACCCGTTAGCCGCAACGATCTTCCGAGCCTGCTCGATGATCGTCGAGCACTCGATGCCAATCACCTGGAAGGCCAAGAAAAATAGTACGGCGGTTGCGCGGCCGACTGGGGTGAGCGTGTGCCAACCTTTCTGTCTACAGTTGGTTGGTTTTAGTCATGCCCCCCCCTAATCGGGGAAGGGGCATCCGCTATTCCTGCCTCAAGGACATACCACTAACAATCCGGCGGCGGTCTTGACGTCTCTATCGCAGCTTTCCAGGTACCGCAGGGCGGGGGGGGGCGTACTCTTATGTTTTGCATGCCTTAGCCGTTAGACCATTGACCACGCGTCCTCGAGAGGACGGAGCATTGTTCCCACAGGACCGATCACCGATGGCCAATCGCAATCGTTCCTTTCTACTTTGCCAAAGGTGGCTCAAAAATGTCTTCCCTAGTCTGTCTATCCTATCGAGATCCCGTCCCGCCTTTTCAACCCACCTCCTATGCCCCTAGTACAGCTACCGTCCTTTCCTCTCTATTCCATGCCTCAAACATCTCCCTGTACGTCCCATCTATTTTTCCCAGCTCAGTCATGTACAGTTCCCTCTCCTTCTTGTACAACGGACATTCCGCGACTACATGAACACGGTCTTCGCATTCGAAGCCGCAATCACATTTGAACTCGTCGTCTTCCTCGTCTACCGTCCTATGTCTTCGTCGACGTTCTCGAAGGCCTATGTCCCCGGTCCTGAATTTGACCTTAAGCTTTGTTCCTGCATCCATTGGTCCATGTAGGTAGTCCTTGAACCCTATTCCTTCCTTCAACATTCCGTACACTTCTGGACCCTCCTAATCCTTGGAAATATTCCTCAGATTCTGTTCTCTCTCGGCACAAGCAACAGATATCCTCTCCTTGAACCCCTTTAGACCC